TCCTAAACCCTAAACCCCTAAACTCCTAAACCCCTAAACTCCTAAACCCTAAACCCCTAAACCGCTAAACTCCTAAACCCCAAAACCCACAAACCGTGGACTGATGCAAGAGGACGGCCATGCCTGCATCCGAGTCCTACAGGGCCGGGCGCTTACTGAGTACTAACCTCTCGTTCTTGTCCTTATTCAAAACGTTCCAAACCTTATAGTGACCCTTATAGACCCCTATTTAAAGGGAGCCCTATTCGAATTATTTTCCTTATACAAAATGTTCCAAACCCTGGTTCGACTTCTTATATGGGCCTTAACAATTACCTGCACTATTTTGGGGGTTCCTTCTTCTAGTTGTAGTAAATTATGCCCCAAAACTCTATTCTAATTGCTAAGGCCCGTATAGTCACCAGATTGAAACTGCGGTGGTTCGCCGAATGCGCTGAGTTCATGGTGTAGGTTGCGGCATATATGGGGGACTGAACCCAAGGTTAAACCATGTGGGAGTTTCCAAAAATTAGGGGTACCTTATTTTGGGGTCCTTATAATAAGGATCCTATTATTTAGGGTACTATATTAGGGTCCCCTTATTTTCGGAAACTCCCATGTTGAACCTAAAACCCGAATGACTTACCCCTACACGGCACAGGGTGGGACTTAGTCCAGAGCTCTGAGTTATCAGCCTAGCGTTCTGCTAGCCCAACCTACAAAAGGCCCTAGGACGGAAAGTTTCAGAGTTCGTATGGCCTGAGTTGCTTCTACCGACGGTTCGGTAGCCGGACCATCCTCCAGCACCCAATCCCCCCCCGTCCTCATGCAGAGACCGCATTGTTATGTGGGTTGAAGGTTTAGTGTGCACCTGAGCTACCAATACCGATTGTGTTTGTAGGTTCTTATTACAAAGCTTACTATGAGATTTATAGGGACCCTACAAAACAGCAGGTTATGAGATGTTCAGGCAGGGTGTGTATGGCAGGAGTTTTAATAATCACCTAACCTGACCTACACTATTTGGGGAGCTCCTGATTATAATTATAAGATAATATACCCCAAAAGCCTTGGTCGAATTATTAAGGCCCCTACATGAGGATTTAGGGTTTAGAATCCAGTATTCTCGCATTTCTCGCGAGAAGTTTTAAGCCGAAATGACTCGGTATGCAGGGTTTAGGGGGTTTTGGGGGGGTTCCTATAAGGGTGCCTTTAAGAGTGGCTATAAGGGTTTCTATGTACGGTTAAATGGCTTACTCTAAGGCTTGCCAGCAGGAGTTCTTATAAGGGTTCCCACCGGAGCTTTGAGGTTTTGGGGGTTGTTCTTTTTGTTTAGGGCTTTGGATTTGTTTGGGGCTTTTGGTTTACGCGTATAGTGCGAGGGAAGGCTTGGGGATTTTCCAAGGGTAAAAGGAGGGACCCTTAATAAGGACCCCTAGGCATATACCCTTAATATAGCTAGTATATACCCAGTATATAGCCCATTATAGGGACCCAGGGGTCCCCATTAAGGGTCCCTCCTTTTTCCCCCTTGAGATTTAGCTTCTCATTTCGGGCAAGCCCCTGTCTGGTCATGGTTTGGGCTTACCTTAACCCTGAATAACCTATCTTTTTAGGGTTCCTTATTATGATTTCTTTATATAAGTCCTTAAAAAAGTAGGTCCTTCAGGGTTAAGGTAGGGCTTAAGGCCCAGGCTGTGGTGTTCGGGTTTCGAGTTTAGGGTGTAGAGTTTAAGGGTTCAGGGCTTAAGGTCTTGGGTATAGAATTCTTTTTAGAGTTTAAAGTAAAAGCCAGAAAGTTGGAATATGATTATCCTAAACCCTTTATGGTAAATTATAGGGTATCCTACCCTGAAACCATATTCCAACTTTCTGGAGTTCCCTTTATAAGGGTTTAGTTTATTTTAGAGTTTAGGCGTTTTGGGGTTTCGGATTCAGAGGATGTTGTCTATGCAGAAGACGGGTATGCAGCCGGAGCTCCGACAACACCTGCTATCAAAAGGGCTTCAAATCTAAGAAGGCACCCCCCAAAATCGTGAAGATCATAACCCTAGTTTTAAACCGCTTAACCCTAAATTAAACCGGGAAGCATGACCCTAAATCCATGAGGACATCACCCACTTTCTCATCGCACATCCGAAGTCCAGCTTCAGCGGCGTCGGCCCTCGTCTGCTGCGGATCCCCTTAGGCGGGCCAGCCTTTGTGAGTCGAAGAATGGTTAGGGTTTAGAGTTTAGTAGGCTTTAGGGAAAAGGGTTTTGGGTTTACCTTAACCTCAAACAGCTACCGACACTTGCTAAGGGTTTTTGAGCGGAAATCACTAGAAGGAGCCAAGAGAAAAGGTGGGTCCCTAAACCCTAAGCCTTTAATCCCGGTTGGTTTTATAGGGTTCAGGTAGTGTTTATAGGGCTTGCGGACTTAGGGCATAAGGGTTTCTTCTACACGCTCCTTTGAGGATTCGGTAAAGGGGTCTTATCACGGTTCTCTACGAGAGTTTACAGGGCCTTCGGCTTTTGGGGCTGAAGGGTTTAGGGTTTAAGGGTTCAAGGGTTAAGATTTTTGGGTTTTGGGGGCCTTGAATTTAGAGTTTGTGGTTGAAAGCTTTCTGCAGTGCTTCGGATGTCGAGTTCATGGTTCAGGGGTCTAGGGTGGAGCATGGGTTTGGGATTTACTATAGACTGGCGAAAAATTGGCAAGATTATTCCTCTGGCTCCTTATCGTTGTATTTATACTACAATGTACCCCGTACCCAACACCCTATTCTATTTCTGTCTCTTAAGGCCCTTATACGAATCCCTCATAGGGAAACCCATTCTAGGAATGCAGACTTAGAGTTGCAGGGGTTGATTGAGGTTCTGGCTCTGGCAAACTTAGAATGAGAAGACAGGTTTGTGGGAGACTAGACTGCGTCTATGAGCGGCGTTTAGGAAGATAACCTTACTCTCATGGTGACGGTATCGCATATGTGCTTGAACATGAGCCAGAGATGCTTGCTCTTGGTTTTGCTTGGTCGCCTCTCTGTACATAGTAACGTCATAGATAGGTTGCGCCACTGTGTCCTGTCTGTCCCTCACCCGCCCTCCCCACACACACGCAACTCACACAAACACAGGCGCTTTTCTCTGGAGTCTCTGGGCCGTGCAATTGTGCTGAGATCCCCCACGCTGTCCCTGTAGTCGATGCTTGGAGTTAGAGGTGGAAGTTGCTGCATAATATAGAGGCCTACATAATTACCTATACTATTTTGTGGGGTTCCTTATTATACTTAATTATAGAATAAGGTTGGTCGCCCCTTAAAGCAAACAGCCAGAAGATGCCCAAAGCCGTAAACCCAAAATTCCCCAGGCATGGCAACGATGATGTCGGCCATGGAGACCGCCAAGTGGGCTTTCGAGTGGCGCCGGCAAAGCAGGTAGTCTTGGATTTAGTTTTTTGCGTAGAGTTGCTGCAAGTATAGCAGTCGCCGGGGTGGGCCCACGTACCCCGAAGCCCTAGACGCCTTGAGCCATAGGCCAAACTTACTGCATCGTGTTGCTGTAATCAGATTGGAAGGCTGTACACGCCGCCACGATACTAAATCGCTGGCTGCTCGGGGCGAAACCGAAGCTCTGCGCGAGATTCGGCTCCTGTTGGAACTGTCTTGCTGGTTACTGCATGACCTTGCTTTTCATCTCATCCGAAAGTTTTTTGCGATCAGTAGACAGATCACACCTGCTTCGGGAGATGACGATCATGATGGTAATGGTGATAATTCGCTGCATGGTCAGCAACAGTCAGTCCGCTCGTGGCAAGGACACATAGGAGGAGGAGCAGCAATAAGAGTAGCAGCTGGAGTACGAGTAGGAGGAGTATGAGTAGGAGGCATAGGGGCAGCAGTAGCAGTAGCGGTGGCAGTGGCATTGGCAATAGCAGCAACAGTGGCAGCAACAGTGGCACAGCAGCAGCAGAAGTAGATGCAGTAGAGGTGGTTGCAGAAGTACTACTGTTGATGATATCAATCCTACATTGCCCATAATAGGTAATGTTTCATAATTCCCATAATTTAGGGTCCTTAAGGTAATGCAGGGTTTATACCATCAACCGTCCCTAGTTCCGTTTGCTCCGTGGGAGCTGACGCTATTGTTTGTGTTGCAAGGTTTGCTGTTGGTGCCGTTGTGGTTGTCATTGTTTTTTCTGGTTGTGGTCGCTATCGTCGTGATCGTCGTCGTCGCCGCCTGTGGCTGCTGACGAAGCTCTTCGTACTGTTGTTGCTGATGCTTTTCTTTGATGATATTCGTGCTGTTGTCTTTGTTACTGCTGCTGCTGGTGCTTCTGTCGGAGTTGGTGCCTGGACAGCGAAAAGCAGGAGCCGTATCATCATTTTCGCTTCTACTGGCGGAGCGTGGCTCCTTGTGCCCATTTTCGGTGCGTCTTGCCCAGTTCTCCCGATGGTTCGACACCAGTTGAGGGATATGCTGCTACCGTAAGAGCATCGAATGCTGGATGAGGCCCCCGTCTGTTGACGAAGAAGCAAAGGCAGCAAGCGCAACTTGCAGCAGTTTCAAGAGATCCTCATGTGTGTGTATATATATATGATGTACACAAATGAATTTGCGCATTATTCGTTATTGTTTTATAAGCTTATGTTTCTTTATGTTCAGTTCCGTGAGATCCTCTAAGAGGACCTGACGCATCTCGATGCCGAGCAGCTCAGTTTCGAGATGTTCAGGTCTTCCGGTTTCGAGTGAACTGGCTGGCGAGGCACCCTGAATAGCAGATGCGATTGCATGCCGGCGCAAACAGGAAGGAGCCTGGAGGGAAAACAGAGGTAAGATTTCCATGTTCTGATGGTGCATGTGATGGGAAGAAGGAGGACATGGTCGGTTGATGATAATGGTGCTGCTGCTGCTGCTGCTGCTGCTGCTGCTGCTGCTGCTGCTGCTGCTGCTGCTGCTGCTGCTGCTGCTGGAGGGGATGTTGGCAAAGGTGATGACGCTGTTGATGGTGCTGTAGATGATGACGATGGTAGCCGTCACGCGTAAAATGACCGTGATCCCAAGGGGCGTTTTTGCCGGTGGGAATCACGGCGATGCTGCACTGATTGCAGTGGCGACACTGCTCATGTTGGCGCTGATGACGATGACGATGCTGGCCTGGACGCTCGTGGCAATGGTTTAACCAGTGTCATCACGAACGTGGTAATGACGAGGATGGTAAATTCGACGGCTGTGACGGCCATGAAGCTTGTGAAGACGATTATGATGTTAATGATGAGGACCACGATGATCGAATCCTAGCGTTGCAGAATGGGCGAATCTCTTTCGAAAGAAGGGCATGCATTGTGCCGAAATCATCTTGGTAGACCTCAGCTTCTGCCCTTCAGCCCTGCATCCAAGGACCCCTAAATCCGGGATCAACAGTCACAATTCACAACCATCCCCTACAACACACCATGTCCTAAAGCAAACCCTGAATCCCTAAACCCAACCCCTAAACCCTCCCTTTAATTCCTAAGGTCCTGCCTCGTAATAGACGGCGAGCTGCTGCGCAGCCTGCCTCTGAATGCGGGCGCCTCTGAAACCACGGGTTTGGGTGTAAGCCCAAAAGCAACGTACAGGGAATCCCAGCACCTTTTTGGGGTACTATAGGTGTAGAATCCTTAGATAAACGTATAGAACCCTTATGGAACCGCTATAGAACTGGTTGTAGAGCCTTTTTTGAGCTTGTAAAAAGAATCCTTGAAGAACCCTCATAGAACCCTTATGATATTGGGTTTAGTTTGGGATACTGTGGGGTTACGAGTCTCAGGGCTCAAGATACATGCTACCCGTACCGTTTTGTACAATTGCCACCCCAAAGCTCTAAACCCCAAACACCCAAAGCCCTACACCCAGCAAGCCCTAAAGCTCTAACCCCTCAACCGTAAACCGTAAACCTCCCAAACCTTGGAAGGGCGGGGCCCCAAAATGCAATATGTCAACTGATGATGAACCCTAAATCCTAAGTACTGCGCATCAGACCCGAAAGGAGCTGATCTACTTTCTATAAGGCCCTCAAATTCAATAGTACCTTTTGTAGTAACCCCACCACCGGGCCTTTTCTTCAGGAGCCTTTCAAAGGAACCCCTGAAATTACAAATACCCCAAAGCCCTTGGCTCCAGTTGCTTGTGACCGTGGGGCTCTGGGAAAACTTACACCCTTGGATAGTTCCGTAAGCTGGGATCCCTTTTAGAGTCCTTTTCACAATGGTGCCCTTTCTTCAGCTAAAGAGAGGAACACAAGTTTAGAATTTAGAGAACTACCCACTTTCATCCAAAGCGTCACAACCCTCAGTAAGACATGATGAGGCACCGCCACAGAAGAGCTATAAAACTCGGCTTCTATGCAGAGACCTGGTCCTTGCGCCCTAATCACCGAATCTCACAATCCCATCGACAAAGCAGCTTTCCTTATGCTCCCAGGCCTTGTAAGTTGAGGGTTTAGAAACTTCAATAGCCCTACCCTAAACCCCAAACCACCCAAAACCCTTGCCTTCTGCACTGAGTTGCTAGGATGCCCAGTAGTACCCTTATTCTCTTTTTGTAGTCCTAGGTTCCTTATAAAGTTACCCAATACCAAAAAGAGAGGCCTTTTTCTTCTTAGGTTACTGGGTATCCTAGATAATATTTAACAATTACCTATACTATGTTGGGGGTTGCTTTTTATGTTATAGTTATCGGGCCCCAAAACCCTAAGGCCAGGTTGAGTCTTACCACGGCCTTGGTGTTCTGCTCTGAGGTCGAAGGGCAAGACACAGATTTTGGAGTGCCAGAGCCCCAGAGGGGTTTGGTGCCGTATAGGAACCCTAAACCCTAAACCCCTAAACACAAAAGTTGAGCGCTAAAGGGTACGGCCCAGCGGACTTTTGCAGCTCTCGATCCGATTGTCTCCAATATCCCTTAACTCAGCGTCCCTCAGGAAGGATACCTACTTGGAGGTTCATGGGTAGTTATAAGTAGAGATATAGGTCCCCTAATATAGGTTATAACTATAGTTACCCTACTTATGACCCCACTTATAACTACCCATGAACCTCCAAGTAGAGGAGAGGTTTGAATAAGAAGGTATAATACCTCCCTATTGCCAAGGAACCTGACTGCAGAAGTCTGAATACGCAATCAGTAGCTCCTTGAAGAAATTCTGCTACATGTTTGCAACCCCAAGTTCTGGTGTTGTAGCTTAAAAATCTGTTTAACACGATGGTTGAGGGTCTACCTGTAGCCGAAAAGACCTGCCTATTTAGAGTTCCTTATTCTTGGTTTCTATATATGTTCCCTAAAAGTAGGTCTTTTCGGCCCCTAAACCCCTAAACCCTCAACCCCTAAACCCTAAACCCTCAACCCCTAAACCCCTAAACCCTAAACCGGCTACAGGTAGGGTTTAGGTTTATGGTTGCATCTTGGAGTCTCTCTGTTCTCTCCAAGGGTAAAAGGACGGACCCTTAATAAGGACCCCTAGGTATATACCCTTAATATAGCTATTATATACCCATTATATAGCCCATTATAGGGTAGGGGTCCCCGTTAAGGGTCCCTCCTTTTTCCCTCTCTGAGTTCTCATGTTTCAAGAGTCAGAGAGCTGTTCCAGGCCCGGGACGCAGAAGTCTCTCCAGGAGTACCACAGGTGGGCTTAGGGTGCTTTTAAGGGTTCCTACTAGGAATACTACAAGGGATCTATAAGAGCACTATAAGGGGTTTAGGGATTAGGGCTAAGGGTTTTGGTGGGAGATTGTTGCGTTTAGGGTTCCTGAGGGGCTGATATCAGGGGTCTGTATGAGGGTTATTCTACTGGTTTTGTGTGTGTGTGTGTGGGGGGGGGGGGGGGGGTTTAGGGTCTTGAGGGGGTGTCTGGGGCTCAGAGTGTTTCTTGGGGTTGAGATGTTTGCTCGTGGATTTGCAGTTTCACGAACCGGGATCCCCCCACCCACCCCCGCCCCCAGATCCCCCTACACCAGTCAAAAACACGCACCAAAACGCATGAGTCACAACCAAAACTGTTCTGTCCCCCTCCGGTAAGATTAAAGATGCCGAACCCGAACGAACTCCCACTCCCACTCCCCCCCCCCGCCATCCCTGAATCCGAACCGGAACCACCCCACCTAATCGCGGAGCAAAACAAAGTTGCTCGCACTGGAAACCTGAACCCGACCGACCCGACCCCCATCACGAACCCATACCCCGACCGGAACCAACCACCCCTCACCTCTTCCGAGATAAAACCATTTCTTGCACTGGAGAACTTACTGCAGTCATGTTCCAACTTTCTGGGGTTCACCATATACTACTCTTGGGACCCTTGGCTACTTTTCGGAGGATTCGGGCAGGCTCCTCTGTGTGCCCTACATGAGGTAAGGTTTTTACTCAGGTTTTTTTTGTGCGGGAGTGGATACAGCCTTAGAAATACAGGTGAAGTGATATTCGGTCTTTCATTAATGGGGGAGGCTAATTGAGATGAAATCCTTACTACTTACATTCCCACAGGCAGCCAGCCTCACCCCAGCAAGTTCCATAAAGGGATCTGAACAGTTAGGTTCCTTAACCCTTTGCGCCGAACCAGAACCACAGGGTTTAGATCAACAAGGCTTATATGAAAGGAACCCAAAATCTCATTTTTGTATGTGGTTGGCTTTATTTGTGTTTAAAAGTGTTGTTTTGTATTTAAAAGTCTTGTTTTGTATTTAAAAGTTTTTTAAATATGTTTTTTGTGTTTTACAGTTGTTAAAATTACTTTATTTTATTTTTGGTATAGAAAAATACATGTTTGTGAATTATGAGTTTTTGTTTCTGATTGAGTCAAATGGCTTCCTGTTGTTCTACCTGGTTTCCTGCTGCTGCTGTATGTCTACAAATTTGTTGTTTATTTGTTGTTGAAGTTAATATTTAATTTTTTAAATAGTTTTGGTTGTGATTGAACAAAGAAGGGAGGCCGTAGTGACATGTTGACTTGCCTTGAGACCTTGCCCTTACCCACGCGGATCGACTGCCCTTCTCGGTTCGTGGGCACCGTTGGCCGGGTGTCAGGTGTTGAGTCGATGGTACCTGGACCGCCTTGGGGCCAACGTGCCAGGGCAGTGGCATATGACACCCGGGCACATGGGCTAAAGTGCCGGGTGGGGTGGTCCAATGGTTGTGGCTTGCTTTCAGCTCCCAACCAGGAGGGGAGGCCATCCATGCTTGTCACGTTAGTTAGTGAGCCTTGCGACTTGGAGCGACAGAGGCAGAGTGCCACCTTACCCACACGGATCGACTGCCCATCTCGGTTCGTGGACACCGTTGGCCGGGTGTCAGGTGTTGAGTCGATGGTACCTGGACCGCCTTGGAAACTCTAACCCTAACCCTTTCATTACCCTCAAACCCTAACACTATGGCACTCTGCCTTCTAACCCCAAACCCTAAATATACGAAAGACCCTGAAACTCTAACCCTAACCCTTTCATTACCCTCAAACCCTAACACTATGGCACTCTGCCTTCTAACCCCAAACCCTAAATATACTAAAGACCCTGAAACTCTAACCCTAACCCTTTCATTACCCTCAAACCCCTAATACTATGGCACTCTGCCTTCTAACCCCAAACCCTAAAGACCCTGAAACTTTAAACCCTGTGCCAGGTCTTCTTCATCCTCGTCTTCTTGGAAAAATATTTAAAAATGTAGAAAAAATATTTTTTTGTGTTTTAAAGTTTTTAATCAATTTCAAAAGTTTTTTAAAGTCTTTAAACGTCTTTCAAAGTCGTTTAAAGTTTGTAAAAGTTGTTAAAAGCTTTTAAAAGTATTTCAAAGTCTTTTAAAGCTTTTACATGCCTTTGAAAGTTTTTAAAAATATTTTAAATATTTTAAACGCCTTTTAAAGTTTTGAAAAGTCTTTTGAAGTTTGTTAAAGTCTTCTAAAGTTTCTAAAGGTCTTTTAAAGTTTTTAAAAGTTTTTAGAATGTTTTTCTTGCATTTTAAACTTTTTAAAAGTCTGTAAACGTTTCTAAAAGCCAACTATGTCGAACAAGCCCTGTGGATCTAAACCCTGTGGTTCTGGTTCGGTGCAAAGGGTCAATGATAGGTGCTAACACCAATCGATAGCAAATACGGTAAATGGCGGAAAACCCCATTCCAATTCTTAAGCCCCCTATGTTCGCCCTACATGGGTGGTTGTCAGAATGATGGTCTTTTTTTGGGTCCCTAATATAATACGGCACCTAATATTTAGGGGGTACCCAAAAAGGGGCCTTAAATTTTAACAACTACCCACATGCTAAGTCTTCAGCCTCTTGAGTCGAAACAGGAAGCATGACCTAGTAGTAGAGTAGGTAACCTTTAACCTTTTTGGGGGGTAGTATAGGCCCTGTATAATCCCCATATAGCCAAAAAGGTTAACCTTTAGTTCCCCATGATACCCGACAAGTAGGATGAACAGTTGGGAAGTTGTCCTGGATGAGTTGCCTGTGCTTCGGGTTTATGTTGTGGGTACTGGCCTGGACTCATCCGCGATTGCCCACGAAAGACACCCCGAAAGCCCTAAAATCCGAAAAACCCTAAAGCCTGACCCCAAAACCTAAAACTCCAAACCCTAAATGCACAGCACTATTTACCTTACAGACAACGTTCTAGTATTCTTATCGTCATGGTATGTTTGAATCAACTGAACCCTCAACCCAATCATACCTGTTTGCCAGCATCTACGCCAACTCGAAAGCTTTCCGGGAAGAGATTCCCATGGAAGAGCTTGAGCTGAAGCCTCAAACAAACAGGGTTCAGGGTTTAGGGTTCAGGGTTTTGGGGTTTCGGGGTCAGGGGTTGCGTTCCAGCTTGTTTGGGGCGTAGGGCTTGCTGAGCATCTGCCACTACTGCTGCTACCACCGCCACCACCACCACGACGGCGACTACTAGGATTACGACGAGGACTGCGACTGTTACTAGTATCACTGCCACTGCAAATGCCACTGCCACCAAGAGTTTTACCAAGAGGCCAACATGCTTGCCATCATCATTGTTGAAGCCGCTACTTTTCAGGGCTGACAGTTGCGACCTCTTGTTGACTGCATGATGTGTGCCTGAAGAATCTTAGCATTAGTCGTCGTCCCAACTTTCTCGGGTGCACACAAACCCCTCAATTAACTTGGGGCTCGGTCTTTTTGCAAGGCTTCTCCCAGGGCGGAGGAGTTCCGCTGCTGCCTGCGAAGCAGCATAGACCCTCTGCCACGCCACTACATCTAGATACTTCAGCCTGTTCCGCGTGGCTTCACAGGGCGCTCTACAGTCAATGCGATTTACGGTGAGGGGCTTTGAGCGCTTCATGGGTCAGGCTAACTTCAGTAGCCGACAGTTCCAGGTTGACGGTGTTCGGTTCATTCGCTTCTCAGCCGTTTGACAGCAACGGCAGCAACACCACAACAAGCACAGACCTGATGGTGGCATAAACACAGCAGCACATATGGCATTTGCCCCTGCAGCTGCAAAAGAAGTAGCAGCAACTTTGACTATTCTCTCGACATGTGCGAAACAAAGGGACGCGGCAGTGGCCACAGTTTCAACGGTGGTAGACAACGTGCATATCTTTCCCACCGGGAGCCCCTGTATGTGATAGAAACAGAGCAGGCAACAGGCCCTTACACGACTAGTAATCAGCTTCCAACAATACAGTAGAACCCAGAAAGTCGGAACATCATTATCCCCATGCCCTCAAGTTAAAGCATAAGGGGATCCTAGCACTGATCCTCCTAAAGCCATGTTCCGACCTTCTGGGGTTTGCCGTACAGGAACCTGCACTCCCAACAAGCTCGATGCCAACCCTCGACCCTAAACCCGAAGCCTAATGTAGGAACCTGCTTGGGCTCCTTTAAAGGGGTCTATAAGGGATGTATAAGGGTACCATAATAATGTAGGAACCTGATTAAGAAACCTTGGGCCTTTATTAGGGTGCCTTATATGCACCCTACGATTTTGGGGTCATAGGTTCAGGGTTTCTTAATCAGGTTCCTACATTAAACCCTAAGTTTTTGTACCCTCAACCCTAAATTCAGGGCCTTCGAAACTGATACCTGAACCCGCCAGCCGGGACTAGGAAAGCATCGTAATATAGGGGCATAAATAATTACCTGTACTATTTTGGGGGTTCCTTATTAGAACTATACTCTAGATCCCTGATAGAGCCCTTCAAAGGAACCCTATTCTAATTCTGAAGGCCCCTGTAGTACTCGAAGGCGGATTTCGCCTCTTAGGCGCATTGGCATCCTCGGCGAGGGCGGCTTCGGTGCTGTGTTCCTCTGCCAGCGAAAGAACGTCCCAGGCGCTCTCGTTTGGGGGGGTTTCTTTCAAAGGGATCCTTCGAGGGTTCCTATAAGGAATTACTATAAGGGATCGATAAGGTTTCTTGCAGGGGTTTAGGGGTTCAGGATTTGGGTTTTCGGGTATGATTTTATGCAGCAGTTACTTAAGGGCTTCTGTAAGGGATCTGTCAGGAATATTGTGAGGATTTCTTGAAGGGTCCCTCGACGGAGTACTACAAGGGCCTTAAGGGTACTACACGTAGCGGGTTTGGTGCCAGCAGTGCTGTCGAGCATCAGTTTGTAGACACCCTGGAAAGAGGGCTGTTTTGGAAGGTACTTAAAGGATCATGGGACTTAGTAAGTAGGTTATAATTGGGGTTATAAGTCCCCTAAGTGGGGTTACCATAATTATAACCTACTTATAACCTTACTTACTAAGTCCCATGACCCTTTAAGTAAGCTAATGAGCCTCCCGCTATGTAGCGATTTTAATTTGTGTCTGCCTCTTCGGACTCCTAACCCCAAGGGGTCCTAGGTATTGTTATGGGGAATACTTCCCCAAATCATAATAGTAATTCCTACTCTAGAAACCCTGTATAGGTACCTTGGACCCTTTGGGTAAGCAGCATACCAAGTTCAGGGAACTACTTGGGAGAATCGTCATTGCTGATCAGAGAGCTGAGAGTTTTGGTTCAGGGTTGGGGTTTAAGCTTTAGGCTTTAAGGAGGCTTGTTATCGATGCAGTCGTGTCGAGGGCACAGCATTTCTATGGCAAGCACGTCGCGGACACATTGACGCATGTCTCCGCCTGGCCGCCTGGACCTTCGCCGATTCTGTCATGGAGAGGTTCGTCGAAACTCCAAAACCTAAACCTTAACCGATCCTTCTTCAGGAACCCAAGATAGTGCCATTCAGGGTCTATACTCGGGTCCTGTTGTCCATGACATTCCCATGACAGAAACCCTATACGCTACACCTTAAAGATATGCACCCGACGCCCTTCACCCAACACCTCTTAGAACCCTACGGTTGACGATGTAAATCCTGCATGACCCATAATACGGAATACACCATACTTCCCATAGTTTAGGGTTCTCAAGGTAATGCCGGATTTATATTATCAACCCTAGTCCCCCCGTTGACTCCCGAAGCTTCCTGTGCAGACAGAGAGTATGCGCTGAAGCGGCTCTCGAAGGGATATATCGTGCAGGCCGATCTGGATCTGGGAGTGTCCGAAAATTAGGGGGTACCATATTTTGGTGTCCTTTAAAGGGTTCCTAGAAGGGTTCCTTTAAAGGGCTCTACGAAAATTAGGGTGGACTTCTTGGGTTTGAAATATGGGGGTTTCCGAAAAGTAGGGTTACCTTAGGGTTCCTTGAAAGGGTGACTATAAGGGTGTTACTATAAGGTTCTATAAAGGGTTTAGGGTTTGGGGTTTCCGAAAATTAGGGGTACCTTTTTTGGGGGTACTTATAATAAGGATCCTACTATGTAGGGTACGATATTAGGGTCCCCCATTTTCGGAAACACCCATCTGGGTGAGGATGGTTTCATAGGAGTTCGTCCAGGGTCCTTCTTATCGGTCACTGGGCATGGGAGCACCATACTTGAATATGTTTAAGGATCCACTATGAAATGAAAGCTGATACTTTTTCTCCCTGGTTACTTAAAAGCCCAGGTTAAGATTTCGAAGTTCATGGGTCTCGAGTCTTAGACGGTAAGGTTCAGGGTTTTGGAGGGTTAGCTGCACAATGTTCTGCGTTCGGGTAGACAGGATTGCATTGCATCTTTCAAGCATGCAACTTCTTATGTCATGCTGCTTTATGCCCAGCCTTCTTGCTCGAAATTTTGCATTGCGCGTGTGAGCGTTTCATGATGTTTTCCGCGGTTGATTTTCAACATGTGCACTGCAGTCCGGTTCGTTTTGCTTTGGTGTGCGGTCATGTGCGTGTACGTGTGTATCTGTGTGTCCTCTGTGTGTGTGTGTGTGTTTGTATGTATGCATGCACGTATATATGTACATACATACATACATACATAGGTGTTTGTGTAGGTGGGTACTTTTGCATGTATGGCGTGTATGTGCATGTACGCACGTCTAGGCGCCCCCCCCATACAAGAAAACATGTGCTCTTCACCAAGCAGACAGCTACAAGTACTTAGTGGTTTAGTAGTATTTACATGCAGCCCTGAACCCTAAACCCTACGCGTCAGGATTTTGGATGGCCTTTGTTTTCATTGTATCCGTGTCTCAGTGCAGACAACCATCAGGATCGGCTCTAAGAGAGCCTCTCAAGGGCTTCTTGTAGGATTCACGCCGTAAGTTTTCGGGCTCGGATTTTGGAGCCACCTGAACACTATAAAACCTGCGTGGTTAGGGCTCTTTGACGGTGGGCTCTTTGGGGTTCAGGAAGATCTTAAGCTGCTACCCTAAATCGCACCCAAACACTTTTGAAAATCCTAAACCCTATAAGCCCTAAACCCTAAACCTTACACCCTAAACCCTAAGCCTAAACCGTGGCTTTGACCCACCAGGCCAATGCAGAGAAACAAGTCTGCGCCGAGCGAGACATCCTCTCAATGCGAGGGCCTCAGTCTGGTCGTAATGTAGGAACCTGGTTGGGCTCCTTTAAAGGGGTCTATAAGGGATGTATAAGGGTACCATAATAATGTAGGAGCCTGATTAGGAAACCTTGGGCCCGGGCCTTTATTAGGGTTCTATAAGGGTTCCTTTAAAGGGTACCATAAGGGTACTTTAAGGTTCTTTATTTTGGAGGGGAGGGGGGTGTAATGTAGGAACCTGATTAAGAAACCTTGGGCCTTTGTTAGGATTCCTTTTATGAATCCTACTATTTTGGTGTTGGAGGCCCAGAGTTTCTTAATCAGGTTCCTACATTAGCATTGCTGTCTCGTCGTTGGCGTGTTATTGCCTTGGTGTTTGCCACAGTAGAGGAGGGAACGCGTGCTAGATGAGGCCTTTTGGACGGTTGAGTGCTGAGGGTTTCGGTTGGCGGGTGTTTGGAGTGAGGTTCTCCCAGAGCTTCTCAACAAACCAGGAGTTCGGAGTTTTTGTTTTTTTGGGTTTGTGGGTATTGGTTCAGATTGCCCTAGACCCTAAACCCAAAACCCTAAACCCTGAACTTAAAAGCTCCATACCCCCAAAACTGCAGTAACCCTTGCAGAACCAATCATTAACCAATCAGGCCCGAGATCAGCAGCTCAGACAACAGAGGTCGGAACAAATTCAAGCACTGGGCTTTGGAGTACCATCCTTTAATACTTTCTTCTTAAAAAACAATTATGAAATACAAGTTTCATACTTTTTCTTAAAGAAACCATCATGAAATAAACGTGTTTGCTTTTTTCTCCCTGGTTACCTAAAAGCCCAGAACAAGGGAAGTCCGACAGTTCACCTGTAGCACTGGTACCAAGGATGGACAGCGATTTCATCATCCGTCGTGGACCAAGCAGCTGCAAAAGCCCAGGGTTTAGGGCTTTGATTTTGATCAGCCTCGAAAAGTTTCGGGTTTCGCGTTTAGGGTCTCCAGGACTCAGGAATTAGGGCGCAGCGTAAAGTACCATAGCCTGTTCTTTTGCAGGTTCTGAAAATATGCCCAAATGTAGGATTCGGACGGACCCTACAAACAAGTAGGTTTTGGTAGGTACAGGTAGGGCTTAGGAGTCTGAGTCGTTTGTTTAGCATCCCAGTTTCGTCGTGCTTCGGGACACGAGACTACACGTCCTCACACCCCAATATCAGGCCTGCGTATTTACCTGTAGCATTCATAAGGGTCATGGTCATACTAGCTATACTAATATACCGCAAAAGCCTATTCCAATTGTCAAGGCCCCTTTGTTACATGAACAACTTCTTAGCTCATTAACTGACCTCTGCTTTCGACATTTAAGTCTGAACCCATCGGGTTGTTGCTATGTTAGGATTTTTGCTGGTCCAAAGGGCATGGATTCAAACTCTGAAGCCTAGGTTAGGGTCCACGGTTTAGATTTCCATCTTCAGATTCCCCGATCCTGCCGATATTCTCTCAGACACCTGTTCATGACGACATGCGGGAGAAGAGCAAAATGGCGAAGAAAATTGTTGCTGGCTTTCAGCGCGTCTTCTGAGACGACAATGTGTCACGTAAGAAGTTGCAAAGTCTTGAAGGAACTCTTGGAACGGCACTCTGGGACAAATTGTCCCAACCAGCACACCGTGCATCTATGTATGCCGCTACATCTACCACTTCCAGCGCGGAGGTCTATATGTGGACATACAGTGTGCCTTCATAAAGCCATGGACGGAAGTCCTGCAATTGCTGGCTCAGACTGGGAATCGAGTGGGTTCGAATCACTAGGGCTCCTACGTTATGCGACCGGGGGTGCTGAAAAAAGTGAGCGATCCTGACTTAGCGGGGAGTGACGACATGGGCTCTAGCGGGTTTTTTGTGTGAGGGATGGAACTATCCGTAGCCGTAGACTTTTTCCCGCAATTCCTGGATTCTGCAATGAAGGAAGTCGGAGGGAGCATCAATCTGCTTGAATACGCAAAATCCCTGCTTGCTGACAGGCAGCATGGTGAAATTGAATCATATCACGCGTGGGTTCAGGCAATATATTTGCGTATGCCCATATTCGGAATTGTATTTCTTCTGGGCGACGAATATTGGATCCTCAGAACTGTCAGCGGAGGCAGTGATACTTGTAAATGCGCTTTCCTCGCAAGAGGACCTTAAAAATGCCCTATATTATCTCACCACGTCTGTCTCCTGTAGTTTGTCCTTGTCTCAATCCGTCACCTGGTAAGACTATCGCAAAGCGCTACATGCTTAAACCGTAAATGGTCAAACCGCGCATCTTTGGACCCTGAAGACCAAAGCTTCAAGTCCTCACACTCCCTATCCTGAACACTAAACCCTGAGGTCCTACATGCTTTAACCCTACACCCTAGACAGAACGTAGCTCCTAGGATTCTTCGGCTCGTACAAGGACGAAGAGTATGCCAAGTGGCTGCATGCAGATGTGCGGGAGTTCTCAAACCTCTGGACTATGCCTTAGATTACCATAACCTACTTTCTTGTAGGCTTTCAATATATACCCTATTACAGAGTTTGTAGGGACCCTACAAGGAGTAAGGTTTGGTAGGTTAAGGTATTCATGGCAACTCTACCAAGGGATCTTCCAATCTTGCCCCCGGCTGCAGGTTGTCGCATTTCAGGTCAAGCCCTAAAACCTTGAGCCCCACACCCCTAAAAAACCCTACACCCCTAAATCTCAAGCCCTTGGTTTCCCGCAACCCATCAATCGAAACCTCCGGGTCGCTAGGAAGGTTTCGGCTTCAGCGGTGTAGCGGTTGAGATTAACGTTGAGGGTTTAGGGTTTTAGGGCCTACTCGATATCGATTTGAGATGATGCTGATTTCATTTCCCGGCCATATGTAATTATGACCCATTTTGGGGCCTGTCGAGCTTGACTCCTAGTACGTGTTTTCCACCTTGTGTGCTTTTGCAGTTGCTTTTGGCATAAGGGGTGTGGGCCACTAGTGTCGGGGAAGGGTTTGGGTGTTAAGGATGCTACAATATGGGAGTTTCCGAAAATAGGGGACCCTAATATAGTGCCCTAAACAGTAGGATCCTTATTATAAGGACCCCAGAATAAGGTACCCCTATTTTGGGAAACTCCCATATAGGTTTAGGGTTGGAGTCAAGGTTATTAGTGTGGTCTGCAGGTTGGGGGTACTACTCAGACTCGGGTTGACGAGTAGGAGAAGGAATACCCTGACTTTGGGGGGTTGCCTGAGTACCTAGCTTCTTACAGCGTCTAATTTTATAAGCCCCACGGTCCTGCCAACGTGTCGGTGAACCTGTACACTGCAAGCTCTTTTTTTTTTCTGGAATATCGGGTTTTAACCTTTGTGCGTACATGGAGCCAACCCCCTTGCAGCAAGAGTCCTGGTCCCGATGGCAGGTTGTAACTGCAGGATGAACTCACCAAAGTTGTGTGGTCTTTTGCGTCCTATTATAGTAAACCCTTGTAAACACCCCTCCTGAACAGTTACGAGGCCACAAGCGATGCCTCTAAACTTATTCTGGGCCATTTCGGCACTACAGGCATTATTTACCAGAAGGTGTGCAAAGATAAGAGTGTACACAAAGCTAAGCGGTACGGAGCCCTCAGTTACCGTCAAGAAGCCCTGCATTGCAAACTCTAAACCCGAACCCTAAGCCCCTAACCCTAAATCCTCAAGCCTAAACCCCTAAACCCTAAGTCCCTATAAATTCTAAGCCCTGGACCGTAAGAATCCTAAACCCTAAACCCCTAAACCCTAAGTCCCTATAACCTGCAGGTGTACATGCTGTTGGAGTTGGCACCCGGTGGCCACTTGTATCAGCTCCTGTGTGACAAGCCGCAGGCGGCAAGGGGCAGTCTGGGTTGCCAGTCTTTAGGGTTGCATGGGGTTTAGAGTTTAGGGTTTAGGGATTTAGGGGTTTAGGGTTTAGGGTTTCATGGGGTTTAGGGTTTAGGGTTTCATGGGGTTTAGGGTTTAGGGGTAACACTTCCTAAGGCTCTTGAAAAGGCCTGTACAACACCGTCAAGACGCTGCAAAATCTCGAAGACCCCTATAAGAACCTGTAAAAGCCTTTGAAAGACTATGCTTGCAACTGCCAGGTGCTGCTTGCAGATCGGCCACGAGGTGGGCTTGTGTTTCTGTTCATCCCGAACCGGAATGATTGATGGTTATAGTCTTATAGGAATAATGGCAATGATGCTTACAGTGGTGGCTATCGATGGTCAGCAGACTCAACATGGTCAGTAGCTTTTTTGTGCTGGTGCCAGTTCGTAAGATGCTAAACCCTGCACCTTACCTACTATTTGCTTAAGAACCCCCAAAAAACAAAAAATATATTCCTTATAGGGATAATATAGGGATTATCATGTTTTATTTTTTGGTGTTTTCCAAGCAAATAGTAGTTACATTTCGCACATATGACCTGTTGGCGCGGGGCATGAGGGGTCTAGGGCATATGACTTAGGGTTGAGCACGAACCTTTCAACAGGGCTTTGTTCAGGTCTCTAGAGTGCTGTACAGGTTATTCATAAGGTTCTGCATGGCTTTCCTTGTTCTTCATGGTTGTATAAGATTCCCGAGGGTATGAACCAGCCAACTACGATACCCGAAACCAGACCTCGCAGAAAGCTCCTTGCCTGGCCTGGCTCTAAAGCTGAAAGCTTAGATGCCCTAAACCCTTTGAGCCCCTACCTTAGGGGTACTTCGAAATAATTTGTAATTTTTGGTTATTATAATCCGTGAGAAACAGCTAAAACTGCAATTTTTGCTAGGGTTCTGAGTTCAGTATAGCTACCAAGAAGCTCCCTGCCTGGTCCTGCAGCTAACTTACCGTTGGTTAGTAGGGAATGGAAGAATGGTAGTAATAGTAGTTGTAATTATACCCCATTCCGTCATTCCCATCTAACCAAAGGTAAGCTAACAGAAGTGCAACTCGCAGGTTACGCTGCGATGTTCTACTGTGCCTGTGCCATCCTCGTGGCTGCCTCGTTTTGGGGCTTTGGGTTTTAGATTTAAGTTTCTTGGGCTTTAGTTCTTTAGGGCTGAGAATTTTAAAGGCTTTGGGAATTAGGGTTTAGAGGTTTTGGGCTTTGGGCCGCTTAGGCTCTAGGGCTTTTGGTGTTTAGGGTTGTGTGTGTGTGTGTGAGTGTGTGTGTGTGTGTGCGCTTGTGTGTGTGTGTGTGTGTTGCTACTACTACTGTAGTACTCCTTCAGATGGACAAAATGATGCAATTCACTGGCAATCCTAAACTACAGTAGCTATTGTGTTTCCTCAACATGGAAGATGCAGGACTTTGTCCATCTGCAAAGCCCCAAAACCTCAATGTCGAGGTCTGGAAATTCAGCAGTGCGATCCTCACAACTCTAGTCTAAGTATCAAGCCCCGGTATTTAACATCATGGAACCCTGTCAAACCTTCTGAAACCCGTGAACACTCCTAAACCCCTTTATAGAACCATTTTGAACCCCATCAAAACTCATTACACCCTAGTACGGAACCCTACCTAAAACATGTATCAAGCATAACACCTAACACCTCTATACCTAATCTTAAACCCTAATTAAACCTTAACCCACCTATAAAGAACCCTCTAACTGACCGTAACCCCCCCTAAAAACTAAACCCTATGAGCCGGATAAACCCTAACCTTCCTAAACCTTCCTCAGCCCTAAACCCCATAAACCCTTGTAAGCCCTACAAACCCTAAACCTTCCTAAACCCTGCTTCAAGGATCATGGGACTTAGTAACTAGGGTTAAAATTAAGGCAACTATTCTTATAATTGCTTATAACCCCTCTTAAGGAACGTATAACCATATTTACCAAGTCTCATGATCCTGCAAGTACACAACCCTATAAACCCTATAGCCTTCCTAAACCCTAGTTAAACCCTAAACCCCTAACAGCCCTAAGCCCCAAACCCCAAACCTTCCTGCACCACCCTGAGGCTCTAGAGTACCTGCACGAGCGCCGGATTGCCTACAGGGACCTGAAGCTGGAGAATGCCGGAAGCTCGGGACTTCTTTGCTAGGGCTACGATGTTCAGGGCTTAGGGCTTCAGGGTTTAGGGTTCATAGGGGGCTTAAGGGTTTAGGGGGTTTAGGGGGGTTTAGGGGGGTTTGGGGGTTTAGGGCTACAATGTTTAGGGCAAGATAGGGTTTCCTTAAAGGGTTCCTTGAACGGGGTCTATAAGGAATCTATAGTAGGGTTCTATGGTACAGGGGCTGTGCGACCTTACCGGGTTCGTGTTAAGGGGATTAATTCTAAGCTGCCATAATATGGAAACCATATTATTATTATTCACTACAGATCCCTACTAGGGTAATCTTAACAAGAGGGCTAAGATGTTTAGGGTAATATAGGGCTCTTTTAAAGGGCCAGGGGTCTATACGGGTACTACAAGGGATTTAATGCATGGGGGTCTCAATACTTACCTATACTATGTTGGGGTTCCTTGTTACAATTATAGTGTTTTACGCACCGAAGCCCTGTTAAGACTATTAAGGCCTCTAGAGTAGTACTTCGGGTTTAGCCAGTGAGGTTTAAGGTCTACAAAGGAGAGTCGGTGAGTCCTCCTTGAGGGTTTAGCTGTCTAGTGTGGATATATCGGAGCTTGGCAAGGAAGGGTGGTGTAAACGCTCTATCAAGGGTTGCCTGGATATTTCTCTACGAGTTGTATGAGAGCTTCTATGACGGCTTCTATAACCGTTGCAACACAGGTTCTTGTAAGGGTTTCAGCTAGAGGACGATCGGAAGGCCGCCCGATGTCACTGCACCTTATTCTTGCCGCATTCTCTTTTTTCTGCCACAACGTCGGCATCCCAACAATTGGATCCCCGCGGAACAATAGAATTCTTACCATGCGCTGAGAGAAGATAGGGTTTTCAAACTGCAGAACCCGTATCTATAGAACGTTTACAGGGCATGCTTGCGTTAGAATCGTGTAGGTTCCCTCCGCGAAGATCCCCTTGGCCCTAAACCGCACAACCCCAGAACCCAAAAACTCCGTCTATAACCATATAAGCCTATAACCCAGCCTCACCCGTAAAGCCCGCAACCCTAACCCGCCCCCGCCAAAGGCAAAAAAGCCCTAAACCCATAATCCTACACCCCGGGAAGGTCCCTATGCACACAAAAATACCCTGGGAAGGTCTTGAACCTCATAAAAAGGAGCGTTTATAATAATAACCCGTACAGGAGCCCAAAAAGAGTTTGGGAAGGTCCCTAAAGCCTTAAATCTCTTATAAAAGAACCCTGGATCCCGAATCCCTGCGGGAAGGTCTTGCTCGACAAGCGGGGCTATGCCAAGCTTTGCGACCTCGGCTTCGCCCGCTTTGTCTTAGGCGTGTTTCGGCTTAGGGTCTTTCGGGCTTGCCCTAGGCATCTAAGGACTCATATATTAAGGCTTTTGGGCCCAAAGACCATATTATGTAAGGCCTTTGGGCTATTTTGATGCCAAGGGTTAGGGGTTTCGGGTCCAGAGATTTAGGGTTTAAGGGTTTATGGTTTAGGGTGGGTTGGACGTGCAGGTTCTTCGGTTTAGGGTTGAGGGTTAACTTTGTACCCCAAACCCTGCGCGTCTCCAAAAGCCCTGTAACTCAACCTGCTCCCTCATCCTGAAGTTTTACAAGGTGCCTAAACCCGAAAACCTAAAGAGCACCAAACCCTCGAACTAGTGGACTTCCAACCTTAACTTCGACTCATCTTCGAGCCCTCGGAAAACCCGTCATTACAACACGGTAAGCCCGTGAAGGAGTCCATATTATAGTAACCCTATATAATAACTTGTGGTACGTCTTGTAACCATGAAAGGAACCCCTTATAGTAAGAAGAGCCCTCAACGGAGCCCTTAACCCTAAACCTCTAAGCTAAATAGAATGACCCGTGGCTGCAGGGAAGACACATACGCTGCTTGGCACACCCGAGTACATGGCACCGGAGATGATCGAGCGGATCCCAGCTTGGGGTTTAGGGTTTAAAAGGTTTAGGGCTTAAAGATTTAGGGTTTTAGGATTTAAGGTTTAATCTTTAGCGCTTAAGGGTTTAAGGGTACTAGGGTTTAATGTTTAGGGCATAAAGATTTAGGGATTCAGGGTTTAAGGTTTAGGGTTTAAGGGTTGAGGGTTTTAGGGTTTTAGGCTCGAGGGTTTAGGGCTTCAGGGTGTAGGGAGTAATGGAGAGCATGGGTTTTGGGATGGAGGGTTTCGAGTAGGTCGCGGGGCTGAGGATGTATGATGCAAGGTTAGGGTGTAAGATGCAGGTTGTTATTTTCTTTGGCCGCAGGCTTGCAGTTTGGATGCTGGCATAGAGGTTCAGGATGTAGGGCTAAGGATTGGGGATGCAGGGTTTCGGTTCTAGGATGTATGATATAGGGTTTTTGAGGAGGTAGGGCTCGAAGAGTTCAAAGTTGAGGATGTACGGCCTGCGGTGCAGGGTTTATGCAGGGTTCCGAACATGTCGGTGGTTGTCAATATTAGGGTCCCTTTTGGGGTCCTTATTATAATACGGCACCTACTATTTAGGGTACCCAAAAAGAGGACTCTAATTTTGACAACCACCCATGTAGTGAAGTTTGCATTGTGATGCACTGTGCGTCCTCGAAGTGGCAAGACGCGGGTCACGAACAGCTAGACGAAGCCCCAGTAGCAGTACCAATGGTGATGCGAAGCATGCAGCCCTAAACCCTAAACCCTAAACCCTAAACCCTTGCCTTGGTGAATACATAGCATCGTGGCACCCACAAAAATCTCCCGAGTTTCGCTTGTTCTTGACTCGTAGCAGGTTCATCGTGATCGTGATGAGTCACTGGACCTGTTCTATACTCGTTGTGAGACTGGCGAGAACTTTCGCATCTCAGTGCTGATGACTGTTGCAACATCCGCCATTCAATCCGTCTTAAGCCCCAATCCCCGAATATCCCAAAATCCAAAGCCCTGGGCCCCAAACCTAGAGTCTGGACTTCCGTGAACTCTCCAGCAAAGTCCCAAAAGCCCTAAGCCCTAAGCCCTAATTCGGCCGCAAAGAAGCCCTGAGGCCAAAACCCTTGCAGATCCCTTGTGGATCTCCAGCCCTGCTAGGAACCAAACCCTAAACCCATAAACCCTAAAACCCAAAGAATAAAGCAACCCTTACAGATCCCTTAAAGGAGCCCTGATAGATCCCTTTAAAGGAACCCTTCTAGATCCCTTAAAGGAGCCCTTAAAGATCCCAAAAAGAGAAGTGAAATGCCGGCACGTCAAGGGCACCCTTGGACTTGAATAGCCCAGATCTCTAGGGTTTAGGGTTTAGGGTTTAGGGTTCTCAGGATCCGCCGCACGCCCACAATCACATGGCGCTGCCCTCAGGAGGGGACAAGGTTTCATAAGATCCAAACTCCAAACTATAATTTCCCACAGCGCGATTTCAACACTTGAAGGTACCGTAGATGCCAGAATGATTACTAATACTGTTCTTAGGCTTCCAAAAAAAATGTGCTGTACCATACCCCCAAAACCTGTTCGATTTATTCCATGGGATTCAGGGAGAGTATATGCTACATTACATTCTACCGTATTCACTATACATTACGTCATATTCTGTTTCATGAAAATATATTACATTTTACAGTATACATTTTACTATACTATACTATATTATAGGGAGTCAGGGATCTTCAATGAATAGTTGCGTATGCAACGTGAAGTAGAAGGAAGGTCGACAAGCCTCTGTATTGAGCTGAATTGTTGGGGATGGGTGCGTCAAGAGGAGGCCGCACCAAAAACCCTAAAGAACCCTTCTGAAGACTCGCAAAACCGTGATCAAGATATCACTGGCTCCATGGTTGAGACCCTATTTCAAGGACTGCACATACTGTTGAGGGTCTCGATGCTAGGGCCCCTTGTGTTGCGAAGCCCAAGGCCCTCAACCTCAAACCCTAAACCCCGAAGCTGCAAGCTGCAAGCCATTAAACCGTAAACTCAACATGGGTAGTTCTCTAAATCAGGGTCCCTTTCCCGCTCCCCAAAATAGTACGGCGCCCTCAAAAGCAAAAGGACCCTGAAAAGGATCCAAACTTTGCGAATCAGATTACGTTGAGAACCTGAGCCGCGACAGAGGATTTCATTATGTACTGCATGTTGAAGCGTCGGTAGGTTTATCTCCAAACCCCAAATCCTAAGCCCTATGCCGACATAGTTGTCCATGTGTGTATATGTAGGTCTTTTTGTACATACACAAAGCTACATGTGCATATGCATACATGTATATATACACACATCTATATACAGATACATATATGTATATGTATATAATACATATGTATATATATATATACATGTGTATATATATACATATATACAGACCTCAAAGAGTATATACTAGATCAATAACAGAACATTGAAGAAGTTCTCACTCACGTCTCTAGAGGTCGACTGGTGGGCCCTCGGGGCCTGGGTCCAAGCTTGTCTTGAGGGTTTTGTGGTTTAGGGCTTTAGGGCAGAAGGTTTGGGTGCTGGGGGCTCAGGGGTTTAGAGTTCAGAAGTTAGAGTTGTGGGCTTTAGGGTGTTTAGGTGTCCTAGGCCCTGCACCCACCCTAGGGTCGGGCGTCCGGACTTCGTTTATTTTTGTCTGTGGAGTGGGCTCTTGAAGTACTAGGCAAGGATCCAAGAGCCGCCATCCGTGATGAAATATGGGTGAGGTGTGGGGGGGGGTCTATTGGACTTGCAAAAACCATTAGTGGTAGTGTTCTTCCCGCATTGTCCCTTTATCATGACAGTTTACTACCCTCATGCCAGTTCTAGCCAGCAAGGCCCTATACTTGCCAATGCCCTAGATCCATAGATCTTTCAGCTCGCGTGTTGTTGTGTTGGAGTCCTTCATGGTGTGCTCCTTGAAATGGGACGGGATGGGCATTTCAGTGGTGGTGGTGATGGTGGTGGTGGTGCTGCTGCTGCTGCTGCTTGTCTGCTGGTGGTTGTGGTGGTTTGTTGTTGATTCCGGTGGTGGGGCAGCGGTGGGGGCATGTCTGACGGTGGTGGAGGGTTTCTGCTGGGGAGCTGGTGATGATGGTAATGCTCCATGGTGCCACTGTTGCTGAAGTTGTTGTTGGTTGCTTAGCACACTAAAGTATACTATAGTTCATTAGTAGCAAATTATAGCATACTATAACATGCTACAATATGCTATGCTATGCTATGACATACCACAGCACTTGAGGTTCTGACTTTCGAGATGCTTAGCGGACAGGTTCCGGGCTCAGTGCGCACCCGGAGAGCCCAACGCCTGTTCGTCAAGTAGAGCTCTAAAAGAGCTCTAGTAAGGTTTCTACATGGGTAGTTGTCAAAATGATGATCCCTTTTGGGTACCCTAAATACTTGGTGCCATATTACATAGGGACCCAAAAAGGAACCCTAATTTTGACAACCACCTACATGGGGCTATAAGGGTATTTCAAGGATCCTGGGACCTGTCGAGTGGTGGAAGAGTTTGTGAAGCCTAGCATGGAAGAGACGGTTTAGGGTTTAGGGTTTAGGGTTTAGGGTTAGGAAGAGAGGCCTGCAGTGAGGGGCATGCAAGACCCTTTTTAGTGGCGACTGCGCTTCGCCGATTTGGCTGGTGGTGTCCTGAGTTCCCTGCACTTTTGGAGTTTGCCGTGCTTCATCTGAAGATATACGTTGAGTACATGTATGTGTATAATTATAGGTAGATAGATACATACCGTTGTATCTCTAATACACGACATTGCATGCGTGTTGGTGTAAGATATGGGTATGAACAAGCCTTTGCCTGAAAGAAAACTGCTGTTTTGCTAGGCCTATACCTCAAGGAATGAGAACCGCATGGATTAAACATCGTGTAGAAAGGTTTAAGGTTTGGGCTCAGGGGTTTAGGTGTATTTATAGAGGCCAATTCGCAATATGCTTCCTTACATACCCTGTCCTTGTTAAAGGTATACTGTAATAACCCCCAAAACCCTATTCCAATTATAAAGACTCCTATGGTAGCAGGTTTTTCTGTATTGATACGTCCGCCTTTCTCATCCCACCGTGCCAAGCCATCATTGTCATAGGAAGCTAGCAGGGCTTTGGGCAAATGGGACCTTTGCAGGGAGCGAGCAGGATTCCCAGATAAGGAACCTCATGGTGAATCCCAATCCCAACCACATCGGAGACTCCTCTTTGGCCTCCAACCATCATAATATGCAATGACAAATCCAACTAGATTGAAGACCCGTTTTGGTGTCCAATCAATTGCAGGCGCCATGGGATAGCATGGGCATTGATGACAATCCCATGGGGCACGCCGGTGTCACGCTTTATTGCAACGGCTTTCTGTACTTGTGTACTGCAGTTCAGTACCCAGACTTTAATTATGTTTGCAGGATTTCGAGAGTTTAGGTTTCAGGCTGGAATCTCGTATTGTGATCTAAACTTGGATGGCTTTCATCAGGTTAATTGGGAACTTCGTTGCCTCTTTCGGCTTCACGCCAGCGTCGTAGTACTAGGGAGGGTTGGCATGAGTTATGACAGGCCTCGACCTGAAAGCCTAAAGCATAAACTCTTCTTAAACCTTAAACCCTGAGCCCTAGTCGGACCCCCAACAATCTCAAAACTAAAATCACCTGAACGAAACGTCCTCAACCCTGAATCAAAAATCCTGAAACCTAAACCCTCAAGGCTAAAAGCTTTGCACCAAACCCCAAACCAGAAGCGCGCTGTGAGAACACTGTTCATTCTCCAAATAAATGTAGTATACAGCGCCCAAAATCATTCTAAGTGCCAGGGCCCCGACGTTAGAGGGACGACCCCGGTTCGAAGATAAGACGATGGATGTGCCAGGCAGCTTTTGGCTTTGCGTGAAAGTGCCTGGCCCAGATAAATGGGTGGTTGTCAAAATTATGGTCCTTCTTTGGGTCGCTATTATAATAATACAGCACCTGATATTTAAGGTACCCAAAAAGGGACCCTAATTTCGACAACTACCCAAATGTTGCCAGAGCCAGGTTTGAACGCGATGTTGCCAGAGCTGGGGTTTAGGGTTTAGGGTGGGATAATAAGTTCAGGATAGATTGAGGGTATAGGGTTTAGGGTTTAGAGTAGGCTCAGGGTAAAGGTTAAAGCTTACCCGATTATCAGTTTAGAGTTTGGGATTCCCGAATGATTAGAGTTTGCGTTTAGGGTATAAGTGTAAGGCGCAACAATACTCAAACCGGGTTTATGGCAAGGCGCTTCCAGCAGATTTATGGCTTTGCTATGCTCTTTCTCGTTTAAGCGTATCTGTTCAAGGACTCCTTCTAAAAGAGGCTTGATGTATAAACAAGCCCCTTTGCTTCAAGGGCCTCAAGATCAGGATCCCTACAATGAACCCCTTGTCTCTCAACCTTTCAACCTCGGGGTCCTTATTCTAGTCCATACACAGGGAGAGGAGGTTTGGGGTTTAGTATTAATGAACGGCATCCAACACAAGAAATGACTGAGACAGCAACCTGCAGATGTTGGTGAGACAGGAGCTACGGGAAGCCTATCACGCGTGTCGAAGGCAAGTATTCCATGATGCGATCAGTTGTGGCGATGATGAATATGGCGGCAAAAATAATCCCACAGGCTGATGCCTTAGCCCTAAGCCGGAGCCTACACCCGAATGGCATCTGTGCTACATGTCGTTGGTGGTCAATGCAGCACCGCACCCCGACGCCATGCCCTAATGTAGAGGCCTCTAATTACCTATAGTCTTATACTATTTTGTAGGCTCCCTATTTTAACACTATAGCATAATGGCCCCCACAACCCTACTCTAATTCTTGAGGCCCCTATATTACCGAACTCTATTCTAGATCCCTTCTAGAACCTTTTAAAGGAACCCTTTCAAGGGAACCCTTTTCGAAATTATTAAGGGCCCTAGATTATACCCTAATCCCTGAAACCCGAAGGCACAGTTGGATAGTAATCATAGGGTTTAGGGTTTAATGGTTTGGGGTTTAAGGTTTAATGGTTCTTCGGGTTTAATGCTTTAAGATTTAATGTTTTAATGGTTTAGGGTTTAGGGTTTTATGGTTTAGGGATTAGGGTTTAGGATATGAGGACCTCGATAGTAGCCCTATTATAGACTGTTACTGTGTTGGGGCAGTATCCAACCTGAACCCTAGACCCCGCCTCGTACTGTTCCAACTGGCACGGGCACTTCTTGGAGGTTCATGGGTAGTTATAAGTGGGGTTATAAGTCCCTTAGTGTGGGTTATAATTATTATAGTTGCGCTACTTTTAACCCCACTTATAAGTACCCATGAACCTCCAAGTAGGGGGATGTCCAAGTGCTGGCGGCTTTGGCGCCTGCAGGCCATTGCCCACCAAAGAAGAAAGGCCAGAGACCTGGCCAAAGCCACTTCGAGCAAAGCCGCTTCGGCCAAGGCACAGGCTAGCCACCCTAAACCCTAAACCCTAAACCCTAAACCGAGCCAGAGAGGGGGGCCAGCTGCGTTGGGAACTGGAACCTGGGAGCTTTACCACCACTCTCGGACACCAATGCGGGGAGACCAGTGGGGCTAAGGTTTAGGGTTTAGGGGTTTAGAGTTTAGGGTTGTGTGTGGTCTGCCGCCAGTGCTGGAGGTCCAGACTCTTCATGCACCGGTTATACGACCTGTAGCAGTGCTCCCAATGCCATCCACCCTGGCACAGTTCGCTCCTGGACCATCTGTTGGGACGGGCTTATGGCTTTTGGGGTTCTTTGGGAATTTTCCTGGGGAAAGCAACGAAGCCCAATACAGGAGCCCCAAACCTTTTACGAGAGCCCTGATGGCAACCCTAAATCACGTGAACAATGCGGGAACCTGGTTAACAGAAGCCTGGGTTGTGAGCCCTAATATCTTTGGGTTGTAGCGCCTCTAAATCAGGTTCGCACATTAGTGCCTTCTTAAAGGTCCCCAGAACCCGGCGGAAATATGAGGCCGACGTTTAGGGTTGAGGGTGTCAACCATATCAAAAGACCTGAAGACTGTCAGCTACCAGGGGGAAGTTGATGCAGAATCTACGGGTATGTCATAGGGTGGAGTGTTGGCGCAACATGTTCCTAAACCCTAAACCATACAAGAGCGCTTTGCCCTAATCTGAGGCTATAACCAAGGACTGCCAGATGGCTTCCTGCAGTCAGCTCAGTTTAGGGATCCAGGGCGACAGTTTTTTTCAAGGGTCCAGGGTTTAGGACTTAGGGGTTCTTATTATTTAGGAGACGGGTTCGGGTTTATGGTTTAGGGCTTCGGGGGTTTTAGGCGCAGGTATTGTGGAGGGCTTTTGTGGGTTAAGGTTCGCTGTTCTAGAATCTGAGGCTGTATTTAGTACGAGGATGGAGGCTGCCATCGCTCTTAATATTGGGGCCGTCACAAAAAAGAATGGGGTGTGCGGGGTATATTGTGCTATAGTTATGACAAGGAACCCCCCCGCAATAGTATGGGTAAGTATCAAGGCCTCTATATTACTGCAACTCGCGGTTTTCTAGTCATTGTTTCGTGCAGACATTGTTCATAGGTTCTGATCTTGGGGTATGCAGACTTGCAGATGTCGATATTGGGCATGGGTAGTTGAGGGTTTGAGAAGGAGCTTTTCATGTCGTTTGGGAGTTTTGGATTTGATTCGAGGGTTGCGAGCTGCACGCTAGACCCTGGACTCTGGACCTATATGCAAGCCGATGTATATAGAAGTCTCAGTAAGCCTCTACATGATGCCTAGACACCGAGAGCGGTTGGAAGTACATTCCCTCCGCAACGTTTGATACTCAGAGCCCCAGACCTCCAACTCCGAGTAGATAGAGTAATATAGGGGCCTCAACAGTTCCCTATACTATGTTCAGCGTTCCTTGTAATTATAGCTAGAGTATATTGGGCCCGGAAACGTTAGTCTAATTAATAAAGCCCCCCCATATTATGCTAAGGCAAGAGCTTTAGGGTTTACAGGGTGTAAGGGCTTGAGCCTCCTGGACATTCTGAACCCCCAGAATGCTAAAAGCCGCCCACCTCAAACCTTCCCAAACACCGTGGAGATAGAACTACGAAGTCCGAATCCCTATAAACCCGATCGCAAACAAACAGACCACAATGAAGAAACTGCAAAAAACCAATAACAGCCACCAAAACCCTATAACACCCTGCAAAAGCTTGTTTAAGAACCTGCTGAGACATGTGCAACCTTTCAAAGCCCCTACTTCCCAAGGCCCGCTTCGCTGATCCTCGCAAGGGATTTCATCAAGAGGCCTCCGACGGGTTTTGTGTGTGGAGGATCTGTGGGTTTGGGTTTTTGGAGTTTAGAGGTTTACGGGTTTAGGGCTTTGTGGGTTTGGGTTTGCTAGGAGTTTCGGAGTTCGGGGTTGTAGGGGGCAGGAGTTGAGGGATTTAGGGTTTTGTCTGCGGTTCGGGATCTGGTGGCTTAGGGTTGCCTGCGGATCCAATAGACTACTGTTTTAATTCTGTTCTTGGGTTTATAGGGTTGGTCAAGGGTTCATACAAGGGTTCTATAAAGATTGCTGTGGGGGGTGTACTTTGAGGGTCAATAATTAGGTTTCTGGAAAGGGTTTGGGAATTTTGGTGTGGGGATTTGAGGGCCTTTAGGGTGTCTTGAGCACTAAGCAAAAGGCCTTTTTGGTTTCAGGGCTTTGGGTTGTTGGGCAGTAAAGTTCAGCATTAGTCACAGAACTGCTTAAGCCACGGCTAAGCAAGATAGGTTGAGCCATATCAAAGCAGGTTCCTTACCTCTGTTTCATTAGCAGGACTTCAATTTTTTTATATGTTGCAATAACAACACTAGCAAAAGCCGTCGTGATCGCCGTGGCTTCTCAAACAGCCATGATACTTCTCGTAACAAGGAAAGCCACAGGCAAGCAAGAGCGGAGGTGGTTGGGGGAGTTCAATTTCCTCGGGTTCTGCGAAAGTGCTTACAATCCGAAAAGCCCCGAACCCCAAAACACTGGGAAGCTCACGGGCAAGAGCCTCAGACGTAAACCCCACCCTAACCCAGATCCAACACATCCCTGCTCATCGGAAGAGGAAGAGGACAAGGGCCCAGGATACCCCTTATAGAAGTCATATTAGGGAAACCCCGAACGTCCCCAAACCCCAAACTTCAATCCCAAACGCTGAAGCCGTAAGTCCATGACGGCACCTATCAAAACCTTGTAACACCCACAAAAAACCGCATGACACCCTGCAACATCCCACAGCCATAGCACCCTGTTAAACACTACACAATCCCAAAACCCTAAACCCTCTACAACCTTCCACTAAAAAACCGAAGCCCTAGGACGCATTGGGCCTCTAAGCGCTTATGAATTCGAAATCCTGGCAAAATTGGGGACCCTATCATAGTGCGCTAAATGGTACAAAACCCTAAAGCCCTATAGATCCCTTTAAAGGAACCCTATTCGAAACGCTGGGAGGCTCCTGATGGTCAACCCGCAAAAGCGGCTTGGACAGAGAGGGGCGGAAGAGGCGACCGCTTCTTTAATAGGGATCTTCAAAGGATCTATAAGGGATCCTTTAAAGGGATCTATAAGGGTTCCTGAAAGGGATCTGTAAGGGTTCCTTTATTTTCTGGGTTTAGGGGTTTGAAAGTCAGGGGTTTCAGGGTTCCTTTACGGGATCCTATAAGGATTACCATAAGGGATCTATAAGGGCTTGGAGGTTGTTGGGCTTGTGGGTTCTTGTTAAGGGGTTTAATTTAAGTTACAATAATAGGGAGCTATAGTAAATAATATGGTTTCCTTATTCTGGTAACTCAAAACAAATCCGCTAACAAGAACCCAGTCTTGCACCTACGGTTCTGGGTTTAAGGTTCCTACAGATTCGGGCGTTTAGGGTTTAAGACTCAGGGTTTACGGTCTGATGTTTTCATGTGTTCATAGGGATTCTGCAGGGAGACAGAAACCGAGAGGTCCTAGAACGAGTCCACAAGGGTTCTTTTGGGTATTCGAGTTTAGGGGCCTCAAGACGGCTCTATATGCATGGGGGTTTTGATCCTTGGTGAGCTGCTTCCGTTCTACGCCTGTTTAAGCGCTTCTCTCAGCATTGGCACCCTAAACCCTTGAACCCCTAAACCCCCCTAAACCCTAAACCATTAAACCCTACACCCTGCAACCCTAAACCCTGGAACCCGAGGCCCCTGGATCTGTAAAGGCCCTAAACCCCTAGACCGTAACCCTTCAACCCCGAAGCCAAATCGCCCACGGCCTCCATAGCCTTGCTTGTGCTATCATTATAAACACCAAAGCCCTGAAGGCTAAATCCTACAACCTGCAAGCCGCCTATAGAACCTTTTGGCAACCCTTTCAAGGTTCCCCTAAACCCTAAATCCTAGCCTAAACGCTCAAAAACCCCGTGGCGCAGGTGAAGTCGAGCGGATGGTTCAAGTCCGGCGGATTCACTTTCAAGGCCCTCATCGCCCTGGGCTCAGCCTCCGGAGTCCGCCTGGAGCCTTCGGGCCGTTGGGAGGACGAGGACTAGGGTTATATATGCAGGGGCTTAAGAAGTAGTAAAAGATCATCAGAGTAATGACAATACGAATTAATACTAATAATGCTACTAGCCATACTATCAGTCGTAAGAATAGTAATAATTGTCAACACTATTCGTAGGCTTCCTGAGCATAGTATACAGTATAACAGACCGAAAGCCGGCTCGGACCTGAGCAGTTTGTCGATAGTGAAGCAAAATGGCCCCTATATTTCCCCGCATGAAACGGCTGTCCCAGTTCATACTATATGTATAACACGGGACCCCCAAAATAGTATAGGTAATTTCTTTAGAGATGACTTGTTGCAGCCTTTCGTGTGTAACCTGTAGGTGTTTGTGGAAGTGGTCGACGGTAGTGTCGGTTTTGGCCGCTGCCGCAGCCGGCAGCAGCTGTCCCCAAAGTAGTAGTAGTAGTAGTAGTAGTAGTAGTAGTAGTAGTAGTAGCAGTAGTAGTAGTAGTAGTAGTAGTAGTAGCACCCTAAACCCTAGACCTTAAACAGTAGTAGTAGTAGTAGTAGTAGTAGTAGTAGTAGTAGTAGTAGTAGTAGTAGTAGTAGTAGTAGTAGTAGTAGCGGAGTAGCCGGGAGCGGTAGATGTAGCAGTCGTCGTCCTTGTCGTGGTGGTAAGACAGCTTGCTACAACTTTGTCTAACCCTACACCCTAAAACCGTAAAACTCTAAACCCTAAACCGTTACTATTGCAAGCTCATTGAAGCCAGATGAGCCCTATAAGTCCATATAATTTAAACTGTATCAAACCCCATCTTCACCCCCTTTAACCCGATCAAGCCATGTTTGACACTACTAAACTTCCATGAAACCAGTCAAACGCTTCAAACACTGTCAAACCCCATTTAGACCCTTAACCCTTCAACCCTCAAGCCCATAGGCCTATAAGCCCTATAAACTTTAAACCTTGCTTGGAGGTTCATGGGTAGTTATACGTATAAGTGGGGTTGTAAGTAGGGTAACCATATTTACAAACCCATATCAGGGGACTTCTAACTCCACCTATAACTACCCATGAACCTCCAAGAAGTACCCTAAACCCTATACCCTTACAGAATGCCTATAGATCCCTTTCAAGGGACCCTTAAAGGAGCCCTTAGAACTGCCCATGAACCTCCAAGTAAGCCCTATAAGCCCCTCAAAGCTCTCCCTGACCGAGGCCCAAGAAGCACAGCCTCCATACCAGCCGCCGCCAGCGCCGCTTGGGCCAAGATCACGGTATAATTTATAGTATGGGCGGTTGTCAAAATTATGGTCCTTTTTTGGGTACCTATTATAATACGGCACCTAATATTTAAGATACCCAAAAAGGGACCCTAATTTTGACAACTACCCAAATAGGGACCTTTATAATTAAAATAGTGCTCCTTGAAAAGGGTCTATACGGGCTACTATAAGGGCGATTATAAGGATTTAGTATAGAGGCCTTGGTAATTATCTATACTATTGGGGTGGATTACTTATTATATTGAGAGTAGGCTATACCCCAAAACCCTTTTCTAATTACTAAGTCTCCTGTATTAGGGTGTTCTAGGTTTTGGGGTTTGCGGTTGCGGATTGAAGGTAGAGGGTTGAGGGTTTTTACCTTGATCCCCATCCCCAAGTCCTATGGAACTCCTGCAAGATAGGTTTCTATCGTCTCCCTAGGACTTGTTTTTTAGCTTTGATCATATAAAACCCAAGAGAATATTAAAAATATTATTTCTATTATGGTTCTAAGGATGGTATAGGTTTAGGGTTCTGATTTGGGGGTTTCGGGCTTTACGGTTCGGGTAATTACTTTTGGTTCAGGCTTCTGGGATGGCCGGTTTTAGGTTTTAGGGTCCAGGCTTTGGGGCTTAGTGGGTTAAACCTTTCAGGGGCAGTCTTAGGGCTGAACTTAAGCCCTGAACCCAAAACCCTTAACAACCCTAAGCCCTAAGCCCTACACCAGAGCCACGGTTTAGGGTTTGGGGTTTAGGGACACCCCTAAACAAAAAATGAATTTGAGAAGATGTGGGGTTCAGGACCTGGGGAACACTTATTTGTTTCGTCCGTTTTGAGCTGACGGTGTTTTGACATGGCTGTCATAGGGTCCGTTGTCACGCAGACACTCGAGTCAAAATCGGGAGGGCCAGCACAGATTAGATGTCCCTGCCCCGCTTATAGTCCTTGTAAAGCACTGGCATATTCTGCCCCCAGGGGGCCTCTGTGTATGAAGGCCTCTATAATGTACTGTAAGGAGTCTTTCAGCGAGGTTCGAATGCGAGGAGAGCACCTGAAACGGAATCAGGAACCCAAGCGCAGAGGTCGGAACATCTAGTTCTACTGTACTTCACTGCCTAGGACCTACAGTAGGCCCTTATTCCCTTTTTTAGGGTTCAGGTTCCCTTATAGGCCCCTCTAATCCAAAAAGGGCACCCTTTTTATTCCTAGGTTACTCTTGGGTCTAGCTGCAGTTATATCAGCTAGTCTAGCGATTTTAAGGGACAAAGGCAATACTTAATTTACATCCCAAAGCCTCGTCTAGTTTTCAAGGCCCCTACATCCCATGTATCCCCTCCACCCTGAAGAAGCAATGAATCCCGAACCCCAAAAACCCTGTAAAGCCCGTATCCAGTTGTTATATTGAAGCCTTGTTGTATAAACCCCTTCCGAGGAGAGAGAGAGAGAGAGAGAGAGAGAGAGACAAAGAGAGAGTCAGAGCGAAATAGAGACACAGAGAGAGAGAAAGAGAGAGAGAGAGAGAGAGAGAGAAAGAAAGACAGAACGAAAGAAAGACCTATTTTAGAGAGAAAGAGAGAAAGAGAGAAAGAGAGAAAGAGAGAAAGAGAGAAAGAGAGAGAGAGAGAGAGAGCGAGCGTCCGATGACCAAGAATATGCCAGGACCTACTCCGAGGCGCCGATGCCCAAGCCTGCGCAGGCCTGCCCCAGAGACAGCGCTTCAACGGTGCATCATTCGGTGTAGGCAGGGTTTAGGGTTCACGGTTTCGGGGGGGCAAGAAGGGAGGGGGAGGAGGGGGTGTTACCCTGTGGTCAGGGTTGTATCCTGTTGCATTGCACATGGGTGGCTCCTGTTCTGTTCGGGGGCCGATGATAAAGGTAAGTTCCCTTGTAGAGATAAATTTCACAGGGAACAGCATACCCTCATGATCCGGAAAACCTAGGTAAGGTAGCTTTAAAGATTTCCAGCTTGGTAGTATATGAGGAGCCTGCGGGCTTAGTAGCTCTCGAAGAGTTTTACCTTCGGAAAGATGACGGTGAATCTAAAATAACATGGCGATGTCTGCGATGGTACCGTGATAGACATCGAGTCTGATGTTTTCCGCTTCGAGTGCCTTCACCAACGTTGGGCGTTACTTTCGGAAGCCTACCTCAAGCACGGGGCCCTGAACCCTCAAACCCGGAACCGTAAACTCCTGAACCCCTAACCCCTTCAACTCCAAGTAGAATGCAGGCATCGCGCGAGAGTATGCCAGCGCCCCAGAGACATGCGCATGCCAGTACAGGGGGCGAGAGTGGCCCAACTAAATACCAATACTATGTTGGTGTTCCTTATTAGTTTTAGGTATAGCATCACATACCCCCAAACCCTAGTCTAAAGGGTTCCTTCTTATAAGTATAATACACTATATCCCCCCAAAGCCCTATTCTAATCATTCAGGGCCCTCCCAAACCCGTAAAACCCCAATCACACCTCAAACGCAAGGAAGACGTCGGCGCAGAGGCAGTACCATAGAGGGTTCCAGGCTCCATAGCGGAACTCTTATTGTGACCTTTAAAGGAACCTTTAAAGCCTTAAGTGCTTCAATAAAGCAACCTTAATAGTATTTTTCAGGATTCTAAGAAGGAGGTTTAGGATTTAGGGCTGTGGGGGTTCAGAGTTTGGCGGTTAAGGTCCGCAGGGGTTGATTCTTCAAGGTTATAGCCTTATGGGTTAGTGAGGTCTGTTCTGTGGGTTGACATGCCAATTGCTGGTCACAGCATTGCCAACCGCCAGTGTCAGCACTATCGGCATCACCAGCTTCCTTGGTCTGGTTCCAACCACTGAGATAGGATTGCGGGCATACCACTGCCACGCTGTACTGTTAGATGCATCAAGAAGCCCAAGCCGGAAAGCCCAAACGGGCTGAACAATCATCAATAATGCTACTCCATAGGCCTCATGATTAGAGCTATGCTAAAACCAACCCGCGAAATGCTATTCTGATGATAAGGCACCTATGTCGAAACTAACCCCAAAACCCGTCGAGCCCTAACGAAAGCCCCCAAAGCCTAAACCCCAACTTCCTGAACCCTAAAACCCTAACTAAACCCCCAAAGTCTTGATACTTAAAACCCCAAATCAACCCCTCGTAGAACCTCATACTCATAGCCTGCTTGAAAGCAAGCTGAAACCCAAATCCCTGAACCCTAAACCCCAGATCCCCGAAACCTAAACCCTCATCCCTGAACCCTAAAGAACCCTAAACCCCAAATCCCTGAAACCCTGAAGCCCAAAGGAAGCGGATCGGCTTTTGTTCTCAGGTCGGAGGCCCGAAATAAACTGTTCGTGAAGAGCCACACAGTGGCCCGAGCCCCAGTTTTGAGGGTTCAGGGTTTAGGGAATTCTTTGTGGGCTTATAGAGTAGATTTTGGATAAGTTTGGTGTGGGTTTGCATGGGTTTCGTTAGCATTTAAGGTTAGAGGTTCAGGGGTCTTGCTTTGGCGCTTAGGTATTACCACTAAGTAGTTACTACCCCGACAACTGCGACGACTGCTTCAACGCTCCAGCCGAAAGACTACGTCCTGGCGTTTAGGACTCTGAACCCGCAACCCTAAACCCTTAAACCCTAAAGCCTAAACCCCCAAGCCCAAAACCCCGAAGCCCAGAATCCCTAAACCCTCTAAAACCCTACAGTTTAAGCCCAAAAAGTTGGAAACCCAATGGCCTGCATCCTTAAAAGCAATGTATCGGGAATCCCATGGGAGATCTCTCCCGAAGGTAGAGCTCCTGTTTTTTTCTGTTTCGAGTCAAGCAGCAGATTACCTGTCCCCAACATGAGACTGTTCCGTGTTCAAGACCGCAAAAACCCCAAACCCCACACCCTAGACCCCGAACCCTAAGCCCTACACCCTGCACCCTAAACCCCAAACCCTGCACCCTAGACCCTAAACCCCAAGCCCTAGACCCCGAACCCCAGCCCTAAACCCTAATCCCCGAAAGATGCCCATGTTTGGGTTTGAGCTTCGCGATCTCCCGTCTGAGCCACCCGCTGTAGACGTTGAATAAAACCCTGGGTTAGGAGTACCATACTTGAATACTTGTTTTGGTACCTGTTCTTTCAAGGAACCATTACGAAATACAAGTCTATACTTTTTTCTCCCTGGTGACTTCAAAATCCAGAAACACACCGCCACGTTACACTCAAGCATTTCTCGCAAAGGACGACTGGGCTCGTGATTTTTGACGCGCCGGCAACAGTTCCAATCAGGGTGTGAATTTGGAAATCGCTCAAAGCTGAGAAGCAGACAGCTTCGAGAATTCAAGACTGTCAACTTTAAGGTTTAAATTAGAACGGGTTTAGAGCCTTAACCCTACACCTTTCACCGTAATCTCTAAAGTTAAACCTTAGACTTACCCAGTTGAACAGTCTCTAAGGTTCCGAACCCGATGAGACCCTTATAAACCCGTACAAAACTCCATGAACCCCCGCAGCTATAAGAGGTTCTTTACGAAGTTGAAGAGGGGTTTGGAAGATCTGGGTCCCTCCTTCAGTATTGGGTCTTTCCACTAAAGCGGTTCAGAGCTCTAGGTCACTAGGATGCCCAGCAGTACCCTTATTCCCCTTTTTTGTCGTCCTAGGTTCCTCATAAAGTTACCCAATGCCAGAAATGGAGCCCTTTTTATTCCTGGGTTACTGCGCATCCTAGGTTATAGATTCATTAGTTCGTGTGTGTTTCAAGTTACGGTTTCTTTTATGGGGATCTCCAAGCAGAAGATTAGTTCTGGTTTGGGTACGGCCCCCACTCAGTAACAGTTGGATAATATTCATAATATAGATCTATAAGGCCCTTAATAGTAGCCCTATTATAGACTGTTACTGTATGGGGGCCGTACCCAAGTTCCGGTGGACAACTTGAGGGCTAAGGTCACAGATAACTTGGCGGCTTGCATCACTCTCTGTAATCTGGGGGGGGCGTGAACAGTCAGCCGTTACTGAGGTTTCCTCATATAACTGTAGTAGAATAATTATAGCTTATACCCCAAGAGCATCCCAAAGCCTTGTTTCAACTATGAAGCCCTAAGCCCTAATCTCTACATGGGAGTTTCCGAAAGTTAGGGAGCCCTGTTTTGGGGTCCTGAAAAAAAGGATCCTTTTTGGGACAGGGTCCCCTATTTTCGGAAACTCTCACATGCCAAAACCGTATTCGAACTACGGCTGATGATATAAATCCTGCATGACCCATAATAAGGGTTACCAGAATTCCCATAGTTTCGGGTCCTTAAGGTAATGCAGGTTTTATATATCATCAACAGTATGAGGGCTCCGCGAGTACACACCCTGCGAATCTCTGGCCTTGTGGCGTTGGCACCACAGGGCCTCCAAGTCAAGCTGAGTTGCTCGCCTGGCAGCAGTGCTTTAGGAACTTCAGAGGGTTCGACTATAGCCTCCTTAGAGATTATTTTGGTATTTTTGTTCATAAAAAACCCAAGAGAATATCAAAAAGGCTATGCTCATTGTGGCTCTAAGGGGGAGGGGGGGTATCATCATGGGCGGCGCGAGCCCCAGTCTCGATCCTTCTATGTCCAAAAATCGGCCGGAACCCTAAGCCTCAAGCGTTGAAATCCCACACCCTGAAATCCTAAACCAAAAACACTAACATATCCCCAACCCTTAACCTTAAAGCGCTAAACCCTGACAAGCTTACATTCTAAACTCCGACAAGCACAGTCCGGACTGCCCCGCAGAACCCGAGAAGTGCGAGAAATTCCGCTGACACCACTACGTCTCACAGATTCGTGGCTTTTGGGATGCAGAGAGGCATAGAAGATGCCCAACACCCGCCGGGGTGCAGCTGAATGTCATGCTGCTCTTAAGCTCAGAAGTCATCTTTATGGCTGGAGTGATGCTGACACGATCCCGTGTTCCTCTTCTCTTACTGCTGCAGCTACCACCATCGCTAGCGCCAGAACCAGCACTAGCTCCTCCTGCTGCTACTATTGATGATACAAATCCTGCAGTACCTTAAGGACCCTGAACTATGGGAATTATGGTATATGCCTTTTTGTGGGAAATTAATGCGGTATGTATATCATCAACCGTACTACTACTGCGAGGGCCAGGAGCCGAACCATCAGTTTTCTCCGGGTGGCCTGAGCCTAACGAAGAGAGCCCTAAAAGGGCGTAAGGTTTCATATAACATATAGGGGTTCAGAGTATAAGGGTAGAGGACCCCTACTTTCAATGGTCATTCGGTCCTTAAGGAGGAGTCAATGGCTCACCTTGATGTGCTCTCTTTTGGTGCGAGGCTGTTCTCTGCTCCCACGTCGAGCCTTTTATGGTGCGCCACGTAAATGCCCTGCTCATGTACGGAAGGGTACATGGCGCCACCGAACATCGTTTCCACAACAGTCCGCTAGAGCCGTCACACGTTAGAAGGCCGAATGCAAAATTCAGACATCAGCTTATTTGGAGGTCGCATAACGATCAGTTTTACCTGTATGATAAAGTAAGACGTGGGTGCGCAGAGATATGCGTGTATTTATACATATATATATATATATACACACACACACACACTAATCATATGTAAATGCATCATCAGGTTCTCACTATCATACTGCCCGAAACACTAGTCCGAGTATTACGGTCCCTGAATTAGCATTGATTAGTGTGTCTGTACGGATTCCTTAAGGGTTTCTTTAAGGGTGTCTGTATGAGCTCTATAGTAGAAGCCGGACAGTTGGAGTACCATAATCCTCTTGCCCTGAAGGTACAGCATAAGGGGGAGTTCCAGCACTAATCATGCTAAAGCCATCTTCCACCTGGGGATCACTTCACCCCTTCACCCCGGAATCAAGAAAGAAACCTGGAACTATATTTGCCGATGTAACCAAATCCCTACGACACCGTCTTGAACACTACATCAGCCTATCTAGCTACACCCTGTACAACCCTCATGGACCCCTTCTCCCTCACGGATGCAGTATAAATCAGTTAAGCGCAAATAATATTGGTTCTAAGTATAGTTACCCTACTTATAACCCCACTTATAACTACCCATGAACCTCCAATTACTTGGGGTTACGGTCAACCCTAAAACCGCAAGCTCTCATTGGCTTGGTCCAGCTCGAGCTCGCCCACTGCCACCACCGGCAAGCGCACAGTGCCTGGGAGGCTCCTGATTTCGAGCCGGTCAGGGGGGACGCGAAGGGGCTGCGGGTTTAGCCCAGAATGCTAAAGCCCAAACCCTTCTAGATCCCGGCTATCTGTAGACTCGTTATATAAATTAACACATCCCCAATATTAGGGCTGAGGCTAGGGTTGAAGGGTTTAATTTGCAAGCTTTACAGGCTTAATGTCTGAGGTTGAAAGTTTACCCAGAGTAACCAGTCTAATTACTTTAAGAAAGGATATATATGACCACAACAACTTGGAACATTTACCTGTTTCAAGGTAACGCTGTTACTGTAGGTATGGCCTGGGAGCTGAGAGCTTTGGGTCGACGATTGGGGGTTTTATTCGGTTAGGCTTTAGGTGTTATTGAGAAGATTGGGTTGATGGTTTGAGGCTGATTGTCAGGGGTTGAGAGGTATTGTCAGAGGTTGAGAGGTTAGGGTTTATGGTTTCGGGTTTGGGGTTCTAGGATCCAGAGTAGGCCCTTATTCCCTTCCTTACGGTTTAGCTTCCCTTATAGCCCCCTTTAAACCAAAAAGGGCACCCTTTTTATTCCTAGGTTACTCTCAGGTCTAGGGTTGGAGGTTGCGCTAGGAGCTGAGCCCGAAGAGCAAAACATTGCAACGCGGTTCCTTTCGCCCTCTTTGATCACCGGCAACATGGCAAAGCCCCGACGCTGGCACATACTACTAATGTAGGGGCCTTAACAATAAGAATGGGGTTTGGATTATACCAAAATTATAACAAGAACCCCCGAACAGTACTTGGCATAAGTGGTTAAGTTAACCTTTAGACTTCAAACTCGAGTTGTCGTTTCTTTTTGGATCGAAGTGGGGTGCTGTGTGCGGGTACTGCAGTGTCTTGCCACTCCTGCACTTTAGTTCCTCTACGGAATTGGACAAAATAATTACCTATATTATTCCTTAGGGCTTAGGATGATAACTATATTATAAAGGAGCCCCAAACCTTATTCTAATCATACAGAGGCCCCTAGATTACTGAATGTTGAGCCACCTTGCTCCCGCAACCGATAGCCTCACATCCGGCATGATCTCGTCGCAGGCCCTACTTTCGAGGACCGGCGGGTGGGTAACGGGATCATTTGGGAGTGGTTCTTAGGGCTTTGGGGTTTACGGTTCAGGGTCTAGGGTATGTTTCATGATGTTTCATGCCCCACAACCTGGTGCAGGTTCTCTGGAAGTTTCCCTGTGAAGGAATATTCATGAATAGTCATGCTCGTCCCTCAGTCACCACCCTGTTCTACGTACACGTCTTCGCCCATATTACTGGAAGCTTCCCTTTGTTGATTTTAGCCCATATGACTCGGCTCTTGCTTTGTACTTGGTTCTGCACAGCCAATCCGGACGTTGGGATGAAAGTTCCGAGCGTCTCATGCAAATACATACAGGTAAGACAGTCTGCACAAATATCTAAATAACTACATGTCTACCTATTCATCCAATTATCGATCTATCTATCTATTTATCTTCCAATCTCTCCATCTCTTGTTTCTTGATCTCTCTCTCTATCTCACTCTCACTCTCTCTCTCTCTCTCTCTCTCTCTCTCTCTGTCTCTCTCTCTCTCTCTCTCTCTCGGTCTGTCGGCCGGACGGTCGGTCGGTCTGTCTGTCTCTAGCTGTCTATCCATCTATCTATCTATCTCTAGATAGTGAATAGATTAGGGTTGTTTGGCCTTAGCAAGATTGGCGGGTGTAGATTTGGGTTGTATCCATGGAGACATTATCAAAGCATAGAATCGATTTGCTGCAAGAGTTCATAGGGGGTTCAGCCGGGTCCGGTACCCTCGACCCTTAACCTGGTGCTTCTGATCCTTTCCTGAACGCTGGGCTTGGTGCGTTTCTTCTGGTCACAGAGCTACAAAATGCCCTTAAAGCCTCAACCCTGCACCCTAAACTCAACCATTCGCTAATACGGTAATTGAACACATTAACAGAATGTAACGATAATTGTGCTATAGTTATATTTTTACTATATAACGATACGAATGATAACAACCATCATAGTTATTACTGTGTAAAACCTAAAGATGGTACCAGGCTGACGACGT